CCCCCCCCCCGCCCCCGCAGATCCCGCCCTTCCGGGCCACGCCCCTAGGCCGATCCCAGACCTACATGCCTTCCCGGACCCCGCCCCATATGGCCTCTATGCTCCACCCCGGGCTCCGCCCCCAGCGAATCCCGCCCCTCTGGGCCACTCCCCCATACAGATCCTGGGCCTTCATACTCCGCCTCAGACTACACCCCGGTTGCTGATCCAGGCCCTCCGTGAGCCATCCCCGGGCTCTGGCCCCGTGCAGATCCCGCTCCCCCAGTCCACGCCTCCATGCAGATCCCGATCTCCATATCCGGCCCTCAGACTCCGCCCCCATACGGAGCCTTGGCCTCTATGCCCCACCCCAGACCCCACCCTCATGCAGATCCCGCCCCTCCTTCCCACGCTCCCATGCAGATCCCGGACCTCCCGCCCCCGGACTCCGCCCCCAAGTAGATCCTGCCCCTCCCACCCACTCCCCCATGCAGATTCCGGGCCTCCAAACCCCGCCCCCGGACTCCGCCCCCATGCGGATCTCTGGCCTCTATGCCCCGCCCCAGATTCCACCACTTTGCGGATCCCGCCCCCTCCAGGCTACGCCTCCTGCTGATTCCGCACCCGCAGCACGCCGATGACGTCACCGGCCTTGTCCAGCTCCATGGCGCCCTCCGCCGCCAGGATGCGCTGCACTGTTTGCAGGACACTAGTGGCCATAGTGACATCGCCGCAGACAAACATGTGGCCCCGCTCGAGGCATAACACACGGTACACCTCGGCAGCCAGCTCAGTCCGCAAGAGGTCCTGCACATAAGTCTGAGGAAAATGGATTAGGGGTGTTTAGCGTGGGATTAGGGGCTGTTTATCCTAGGGAGCGGCCCTGGGTATAAAAGATTTTGGGTGCGGTGGAGCCAGGCATGGGACACGTCTTGAGTGGCTGGGGTGGGTAAACCAAAGGGTTACAGTTCGAGTTGCTGTGGAGGCCCGTGTCCACGTAGGTGGACCCACGTAGGGGTCTCGTGTCCCCTCCTGAACTCATGCCAGTCCTTGGTTTTCCCCTCTTGCCCCTCAATCCTTAAGGTTCGCACCTTTGGGCTGTCGGGTTCCCGAGAGAAGGCGGTGAGAACGCGGCCAAACACCCCACGCTGGTGGGCGTCTTGCACCTCCTCCCGGTAGAGGTGGTCGAGCTGGGAGCATCGGCAGCCAAACACCAAGGTCATGGGGGCGGGTTGCAGCCCTGTAAACCGCACAGTGGCTCAGATGCGCCCCCTTTCAGGGGCGCAGCCTACTTGTACCCGCCCCACCGGTTTCTCACACCCATTGCCCATTCTAGGCAGAGATAATCATAGTGGCTGCTTGGTCTCTAGAATCTAGAGTGCACGGTGTTTTCACAAAAACCCTGACTTATCACTGATTTATGAAAAGGGAAACCACGATTAATGGCATGGTTAATGGCATGACTCAGAATGGCCAGTGATAGAGCTGTGCTAGAACTCCAGGCTTCAGGCTCATAATTCCGCATCCTTCTCTTTGTCTAATGTTTCAGTCCTGGACCTCCCTTAGTCTGTTCCTGGCTCCATTTCTGCGGTCTCACGTCTTTAACTCTGACATTTAACTTTCTCCTCAATCACGATCCCTAGCTCTTTATGTACACTCTTACCTTGCACACTCCCAATTCAACTTGAACATCTTCCTTTAGTTCTGGGACCAACCTAGGTAAGCGGTGACAAAGTCCTGCAGTATTTCTTGTCTTCTACTCCCAGCCCTGTCCCTTCCGAACTCCGATTTTTCTTTGTCCTTAATCCTTCTTAACCCACCAGATGTCATGTACCAGGTAAACCACTCACCTGGGCCCTTGCCCCTAAGTGTACTTCCTCTATTTTGTCTAAAAGCTTCACATTTGTGAAGCCCTGGTTTGTTACCTTCTATTTCATACCTGGTTTTTTTTTTTCCATTCCCACCCACTTGTGAAAATTCCTTGGCCCCAGCCTTACCTTTGCTTTCAATGTCATGCAGCCTCTCCTGCCAGAATCCCCGGAAAGGGGCAATGCCTGTGCCAGGTCCCACGAGGATGCAGGGTAAGCTGGGATCAGGTGGCAGCCGGAAGGAAGGAGCCCTGGCCAGAGAGACCTTCTATCAGCCCCCCTTATCTTCCTCAACTCCCCATTTCTTAGTAGCTTTAGAGTCATCCTGAGAAGAGAGCTCAATTTCTACTGATAAATGAGTTACTAATGTAAATGTACACAGACTCTGGCTTATAATAACCACTATGCATATCTTTATTAAAAGAACTGTACTTGCAGGCAGGAACACCCTGCATCTGTGGTTTTAAGAGATTGGGCCAAAAGAAATACAGTTCTAATTTGGAATAAAGAATATTTTGATATCTTAGTGTAGGAGATTTAAAGAGTATGGGGAAGGGGTAGATAGCATCTGGTTCATTATGGGTCCAGTGCATGTGTTTATTTTAAATACTAGCTTTTATATTGGCATTTGATTTGTTTTTAGTAGGATGGTACAGTGCAGGTATAATTTAGACTCTGAAAGGTTTGAGCCAGCAAGTCTAATTGGCACCACTCTGGGAACTCTTTTTAGTCCATTCCACCCACAAGACTTTCAGCTTCCTTGCTGCTGATGGAGCAAGGCTTCTGAACACAGAAAAAGGGAAGGACATCCTGAGATAACTCACTTTCTTTAAGTCCTCAATGATTCCAAAATAGACCAAAATGGCTTTTACCATGACTCCTTCTTCCTGGATAAAGCGGTGACTTGTGGACCACAGTTGCTGAGTGCCATGCCTCCTAGCAGTAGACTGACCCCAAGGCACAAATGGCATTTTATAAAAGCAACAAGGCCTGCTGCTTAACCCCACCTCTGCCTCTGTGGGAGCTGTAGTTGCAGAGCAAATTAATGAGTACAAATAGTGAGGGGTCCAGATCAGCTTGGAGGCCCAGGCAGAGTTCTGAAATGAGCTTAGCCACATACCCCATCCTGTGCAGCTTCCCCACAGATTCCTTCATCTATCCCCAGCCATTTGGGGCACCTTGTTCAGTCCCTGCTTGGGCAGACAGACAGTCTCTTGTTGATGCCTCTTCCCCCCTTCTATCCCTCCTTCTGCTCCAGCAGTGTCTTCTTACCCCCTGATGAAGCAGGGCACAAGGTCTCCAGCCTTAAGTTGGCTCAGCCACGTGGAACAGACTCCATAGTGCAGTGGACCCAGCCCATCTGTGGCATGACAAAATAAAGGAGGCCTGTGAAGAGCCACTCTCAGCATATTGCTGCTGTGGCTCTTGCCTTGTTCCCCCTTTCCAACCTCACCCTGAGTCCTGTATGCCAGCACAGCAACTGTGAGGTGGATCTCTCCTGGGTGGATGCTGGGTGCGGAGCTGACCGAGTAGTACCGTGGCTGGAGCAGAGGCAACTGGGTGAGAAGCAGGGGGGCAGGCAGTGCCACTGATGGAAACTGCTCCAGGACTTCCAGTAGTGTGGGACAGCGGAACCACTTCCACTCCTCGTAGCGCCTAGGATCCTGCAAGGGATGAGGAAAGAGGGCTTGAGCCCTATAGCTCTTCTTGTCGATCTCCATGCTCGACCTCTCCTCTGGCTTGGTCTCCTGAAAGTTTCTACCCCTCAGTTCAGGCTAGCAAACACTTCTCAAGCACATTCTCCATGGTCAGACTTTTTAAGACCTTTAGAATCTATAGAAGACTTAGTAAATCTCAAACCAGGTCCTGAAGAATCAGCCAAGAGTTAGCCAAGTGAGGATAGTAGGGCATGAGCCTTGCCTGGCCTTCCGGGTTCTCTCACCTCTAGCTGGTTGGCCTCCCTGATCCCGCCCCCCCCACCCCGGGTTTGCCCCAACCTGGCTGAGAGCCTCCAGCTCCTGCTGTTCACTGGGCTCTTCAGCCAGGGTGCTGAGCAGTCGAAGGAGTCGAGGGCTTGGTGGAGACGTGATGTCCAGGAAGAAGGTCAGAGCCTGGCGCAGCGTGCACGGGGGTAATCTGGGATCCCGCACCCAACCAGGGGGTGGGCCACCTGCAGGGGATGCACGGGGGCGGGGCAGGGCAGGGGGAGCGCTCAAGAAGGAGCCAAACCAGAGATGGATTGTCTGAGGTGAGGACAGTTTCTTTGGGAGTAAAGGGGATTGACTATGGCTATGTGGTATTTTTTTGAGAACCTGTCCAGAACAGTAATGTCTGGGCAGCCTTGATGTGTTTATGTTTGTTTGGGGCCCACTGGCTGGACTTGGGTGGGCAAGAGTCCCCTGCTCTTAACCCAATCATGCTATTTTAACTCCAGGCCCTGGTAGGGTAGATAGATCTAAGGCCAGCTCTAGAGCAGATTAGGCTATTGGGGTACCTTCAGAAATACCCCAGAGGCCATAGGCTTTGAGACAGAGACAAAGACAGACAGAGTGTGTGTGTGTGTGCGCGCGCGTGCAGAGGAGCCTAAAATAGGTAGGTAAGTTTCCTAAGAAAGGAAGGAGGTCAGGCTGGCTGGATGTGACCAGCTCTGTACCCTGGTGACGACTCAGGAGTCCAGAGCCCGTGGGCTAGGGAGGCACCTGGGACAGGCCTCCCCGCCCCCCCCCCCCCCCGCTGTGTCTGTGCAGAGTCCCTCACCAGGGCTGCCCTTCTCCAGCTGCTCCACTGTGATGGGCTCGGAGGGCGGTGGGGGGTCCTCCACGCGGCTCAGCAGTGCTTCCACGAGGCCTGGCCGGTTGGGTGGGCAGATGCCAACATGGTCCCCTGGCAGGTACTGTAGTCCCTGTTGCCCTCCAGTGTCCAGGCGCACTAGGATGGTGGCTCGGCTGGAGGAGGGAGAGGGGCAGGTTATAGGACAGTGGGAGAGGAGGGGCTGGGGCAGAGGGGCATGGTGAGCATGAGCAGTCTTCCTTACGTGGACTTGCTGCTCTGTAGGTTTTCCACGGAGAGAACCGTAGCTTGGAACATCTTCCGCCTGTGCACATGGACCAGGCCTGGGGGCAGAGGAGACAGCCTGAGCTAGGGGCCCTGCTTGACATCCTGAATACATTGGTTCAGAGGCCTGGGGATCGCAGACTGAATCAGGCCTCACCTGGCAGTAGCTGGAGGTCGTCGGCCTGGGCACTCAGCCGGTATTTCTGGCGCTTCCAGCTCCATTTGGGGCTGAATATGTCCTGTGCAGCAGCCTTGGCATCTTCTCCCACGCAGAAAGTCTCACAGGAGGCCTGGTAGTGTTGAGGGGAGGGGACTTTGGTGAGGCCGCAGGACCCTTTGCCATCAGGGAATGGCCTGAGCAAGGAGGGGCTCAAGTTGACTTTCAAGTTGACTTTCAAGTCTTTTCCTTCCATCCTGGTTGGAGGAACTTCAGGGGCCGAAGTGCCCATAGAATTTCCCAAGACTATGGATCAGCTACTCCAGTAGCAGGAGGAAAGCTGAGACTGAACTTGAGGCCTAGGCTGTGCTGAGATGGGCCTCTTCATAGGTCACAGGCCTCAAGGGTGGCAGTTATTCCTTTGTACACATCTGTGTTACACTCTTGAGTTACTGACCTGGTTGGTGTGAATTACACGTCCCACTACCACCTCTCTAATCACTCCTTCCCCAGAGGGTAGGGCTTCTTACATAATAGCATTCATTGACTGTATTTTATGTGTTCAGATCTGTGTTCAAATTCTAATTCCGCACTTGTATTTTACATACTCTAGGGTCCCTATCCTCCAGGCTCCTTGGCTTCTTGACAATTAAATAAGGTTCTTTAGGTAAGGCCCGAGGCACAGACAACTCCTGGAGTGGGACACTGAGTTCATGATGGTGGGGAGGCTCTGGCTATCCAGGACACTTACTATCAATGCTGAGACCTTTACACAAAACACTTCATTTAATCTTCACAAGAGCGTGGCTGGTGTGGGGGCCATGGGACAGAGCTCCTGGAACTGCTCATATCGCATTTATTTCTGGTCAGGCACAAGCTCCCCAAGACAGGCCACTCCCCCGACTCCCAGCCTGAGTTGCAAAAGCCAGTTTATTTTCCCTTTTTTGTTTTTCTAAGTCTTTTTATCTCTTCCTTTCTTCCTTGGCCCCCTCCCTTCCTTCCTACTCCCACTGCTCCCACCCACATTAGTGCAAAGTTTTCCTGCCCGTAAAGTAATAATGCCTACAATTTCATGTTACACTCATTCCTTCTCTTGCCTCACTCCACAACTTCCAGTGGCTCTTTTTGTTCCAATTATTTAGCCTTGGTTTCAATTCTTCCTCCTCTCCCAGTCTGATCCTATTTGCTTCTCCAGTTTGACATTCTTCCTAGCAAACATCTGTCTCCACTAGGTAGGCCCCCACACTCCACCTTCTAGAGTGTTCTCTACATAGTCCCAGCCTTGTGGACTGACTCATGAGGAAGCCCAGCTGTAAAATGCCATAGCCCCTTGACCCCCCTCCCTAGAACTAGGCCACTCTGTTAGTTCAGGCTCTGTTGAAACCTGGCAGCCTTGTTACTGGCTGCATTTGGCCACCTGATGACTTCTAAGTTTTATGCTGACCTATTTCAGACTTCACTTCTGTCTAACCCTCCAGTCCTGTTCTTTGCCCACCATCCTGTCCCTGTCCTATCCCCTTGCCTTTGTATCCACTCCCAGGATCCAGCCTGTGTCTGAACTAGGCTCCCACCTTCCAGCACCTTGTTCTCCAGTGGAGCCTGCCACTTCCTGTCACTGGTAGAACCACATGGCCACTACTCAGAACAGGGCAAGAAACAAAATGAAGGTGGATTTACGGAGAAATGGGAAGGGAGCAGGGGCCAGACAGAACCAGGGCAGCAGAAAGGCCTCCCTCCAGACTCCACATTGCAGGGCTCATTTGTAAGTTAGAGCTAGGTAGTGGCCAGGGTGTTTCCAGTCGGGCTGAGGGGTGAACAGGGGTAGGATGTGGAGGATGGGTCCTGGGCTCACTTGGAAGGCAGCTTGTGCCCAGCCCCGGAAGGCTTCCTCCTGGCCGCACAGCTCGTCACCCTGACCCAGCTGCAGCAGACGCTCCCCACCCAGCTCCTCCAGCCGTGTGTCCACTGCCCGTGCGAAGGCGCAGAAGTGGGGATAAGCCCGGGAGCCCAGTCCGAATACACAGAACCTGTGGACAGGGAGCCGTCATGGGGCCATCCAGACCCCAGCCCATGTTTGCCTGGGAGCCTGCCCTCCCAGCTCCATCCCGGACGCAAACCTGAGAGTCCCCAGTGCCCCTGCACTGTCTGTGTTACTGGACTCCTTCCTTTTCCGTCGCCAAGAGGAGACTAGGGGGTCTGAGCAGGAAACACTGTTGAAGCGCATTTTGTAACTCCTGATAAGAGAGAACAAGGATGAGTGTCACAAGGAGCTAGAGAAGGATCCAAGCCCAGTCACAGACAGGCGTAGAGAGTTAGGCTCTGCGTCTGTCTGGGTGAAAATGGCCACATTTCAGCCTGGCTCTGCTTGTTCTTGTGACCTGGGTTGGGACTGGGGCTGAAGACTAGCATCCCAGTGTTCTTTGAGCCTCTGGGCCCACTCTGTCTCCTCCCCCACCTTGTAGAAAACCTCTGGACCATCTGCCTCTTAAAGTCCTGGGGTCTAGACGGGCAGGCCACAGAGAGGGCAGGGAGGAAGCAGGCCACTGGGGAAATGGCTTGAGGTCCAGGGGGAGAATCCCTTAGGCCTCTCCTTGTGTCTGCACACACCATGTTGCCTCTCAGCATCGCCCCACTCCCCAGCCCCAATCCATCCCCCTCACTTGTGCTGTTCCGGCCGAGGGGAGCTGTTATAGGGGCTGGACATCTCCATCAGGGCAGCTGCAAAGCTCTGTGCAAAAATAAGTTGTATATCAGGGGCCACGCTATTGACAAGCACTTTCTAAGGCCTTTTTACACACATCTGTATTTAGAGTCTGTTGTTGAGTACCATCGAGATGGAACCAACATATAGCTGACCCTCCAGCGGTTTTCTTTTCTCTCTCTTTTTTTTCCTTCCAGTGGGTTTTCAGAGACTGTTAATCACACGGGAGGAGATTGCCCATCCTTCTCCCACGGAGCAGGTGGTGGATTCAAACCATATGCCTTCGGGATTACAGTGTAGCTTCTTACCCCTAAGCCACCAGAGCTCCCCATTTAGGGTCTAGTTCCATTTTTGAAAGAGCAAAAAATAGAATGACACTATCCTTAACTTGCTTGTTATCAGTAACTGGGGATGGACTTTTTCCAGGTCAGAATATCACAACTTACCTCTTTCTCTTTAAAGGCTCCACGTTATTGTCTGCAGCTGTTGACTTGGCCCCTGACTTATGTGTTACAGTAACTGCTCCATAGGTTTGCTTGACTCTAATCTTTATGGAACCAGATTGCTAGACCTTTCTTTCTGTGGATCTGCTGAGTGGACTTGAACTACCAACCTTTTGGCTAGTTGTTGTTGATTGCTGTCAAGTCTAGCACGACACATTACAACTCTATGAACAAAAGAGCTGCACCCTGTTCTATAACTATTGCTGTTTCTCTAAGTTCATAGAGTTTCCAAAGGTATGTTGTTTTAGGAAGTGGATGCCACTCCTGCTGAATGCAAATCACTGGCAAATGGCTCCATGCTATCCATCAGCTCAAACTTCCCCCTGATTGAAGGCCATCTGGTGACCTAGGAATAATGTGAATCACACAGTCTTGTTTGCACTGCCAGCCCCAAGGCAGGCAGTTCAAATGCATCAGCTGCTCCAAGAGCGAAAGAGGGACACTCTCCTCGCATACAGTTTACAGTCTCTGAAAACTTGCTGGAGGGTCATTATGATGAGTTCTGACTTGATGACACATAACAACAGTATTTAGGAATGGGATTGCTATGTTAAAGGGATTTTAAAACTCGCTGAGATGGTCAAATTGCCCTCTTCCAGGACTGCAGCAGTTTACTCACCCACCACAGGGTTGTTGTTTTTAATGTGCCATCAAGGCAGAATTGACTAATAACTGACCCTCCAATGGGTTTCCAGAGGCTTTAAATCACATAGGAGGAAACTTCCCATCTTTCTCTAACAGAGTAGCTGGTGGGTTTGAACTGTGAGCCTTTGCGTTGCCAGCACAAAACATTATCACTAAGTCACCACAGCTCCCTTTCATATATTTACAAAATTAAACATATGTCTACTTTATGACTACCCTGTACAGGGAGCTCTGGTGGCATAATGGTAAGGAGTTGTGCTGTAAACACAAACGCATGAAGTTTGAATCCACCATCTGCTCTGTGAGAGAATGAAGGGCAATCTCTTCCCATATAGCCTTTGAAAACCTGCTAGAAGATCAGCTATGAGTCAATTCTAACTTGACAGCATGTAACAACAACAAAACCTTTATGACTCAAAAATTTATCCAAGGGAAATGAAAATAAAAGTCCGCAAACGCCTTTTACAAGTATGCTCATAACAACCTCTTCTATTCATTCTGGTTAAAGACTGCAAACAGCTCAGCTCCCCATCAGTAGGAGAATGGATGGATGGATAATTCAGTGTGTATATTCCTGAGGTAGGCTACCCAGTGATAGAAAGGAATGAACTCTTCCTATAACACTGTGGATGACTTTAAGCAGCACTATGCAAAGGGAAAGAAGCCACGCATATGGTTTGCTTCCATTTGTTTGGCAAATGAATAATTTGGAGGCGGAAATCAGAACTTGGGTCAATTCTGAGAGGCAAAGATTCACTGTGAGAGGATCTCACCTGGGAAATGTCATCATCTAGGTGATGAAAATGTTCTGTATTTCTCAAAAGAAGAGTGGGTTACATGGATACTGCTTTTATACTAAAGAAAAATTATTAATGGTTTTCTTTAAAAGGCAGAGCAGAATTAGGACAAAAGGTGACAGTGAGGAGATAGGAGAGGGCTTACATCAGAGCTCAAGCTGTTTTTAGGGTACTTGAAGAGCTGTTTAGATATTTAACACCTAGAAGCTAGGACAGATAAGAAGGTTCAGAAAGGAAGACAGCTTGAGACAACCCAGAGATAAAGATGTTAGGAAGATAATGGTCAACAATAGGCCTACTCTAATTTTTGGCTTTAAATTTTCACATTGTTATCTTCTTATTTAAAAAATATGATTATTTTTTACTTAAGGGAAAATTTACAGATCACATTTCTTTTTCATTCAATCATTCATACACATTTTGTTTCTAGTATTGTTTTTTATGTTTATTTTATTGTTATATTGTTGTTGTTGTTGTTGTGTACCATAGATTCATAACTGACCTATAGCTGATCCTCCAGGGACCTTTCAGGGAAGTTGATTCTCCATAAAGCAGATGGTGGCTTCGAACTGTATGCCTTCGGGATTGCAATGCAGTTTCTTGCCACTAAGCCACCAGAGCTCCTTGTTTCTAGTATTTTTGTGGATTATTTTAAAAAATTTTTTTCCAGCATGAGTAAAATATCTCAGTCACAAAAAGACAAATACTGTATAATGCCACTGTTATGGAACAGGACTGATAATGGGGGTTGGGAGGAACTAAGAAAAGAGGGGATAAATAATATACACGACACTGAAACAGATGAAGGAGAGAACTGTATAATTGGGACATATGATTAGGTATTATTGGCATGATGAGTCCAGAACAAGAGTTGCATAGTAAAGTGGTCGGGGGTGGGGGGGAAATGGATGAACTGTATAACAATGAAAGAACTTTTTTCCAAAGGAAAAAAGCAAACTGGGGGGAAGGAGGGACAGGGAGGAAAATGTGCAACAATGAATGAAAGACAACAACAAAAACAACAAAAAAACTTATGTGCGCGAATGCACACGCACAAAAAAATTAAACACCTAAGGAATTTTCATTAAAATTCCCAGCACAATTAAAGCCATCTAACCTAGGCTAACATCTAAATAGTGCGCGTCTCTTTTGCTAAAGACAAGGAAAAGCTGAAGGAACAAAGCAGAATATCCCTGATGTTCCCATTCTAGGGGGCTCTCAGGTATCTTCTCTGTTGGCTGTGGGTGCCCCGACTTAGCCACCCCAGTTTTGAGTCTCAGTGTCCCTTTTCCCGTCCAGCCTCACCTCGCCGTTCTCGGGTGGATCTCCATTCCCAAACGTACTGGTCACCACAACTACTAGTGTCTCATGCTCCAGGGACACGACGTCATACTCATCCATGCAGAGGACCTGGGAATGGGGTACACAGAGGAGGGTTGCCATCCTGGTCCTCCTAAGGTGTGCACAGGCCCTTGCCCTCTGGTCTTCTGAGACCCTTGCCCCTCTGGACTCCACTTACTCGGGGATCAAATGCTTTCCGGAAGAGCCTCCCCAGCTGTTGTGCGTAGCTCTGGGCACGGCCAGTCTCAGAGCCATACAGGATGGTGGCCTTCACGCGCTTGGCCATCACGGTGCCCATGAGAGAGGCAGAGATCTTCACTGCACTGAAAGCGAGGTGAAAATGGCATGAGGGGGTCCCCAGGGCCTCGGAGACGAGACCTCCCTCCATGTTGGAGGAGCAACCCTCTGAGGGTCCTTACTTGGCCACTTCCTTGAAAGTCTTCTTCCTGGTGATCCCTGTGCCCTTGGCTGTGCTTCCTTTCCAGGGATCAGGCTGCAGGGAAGCGATACATTCAGGGGAGGGTGCAGGTTGTGAACAGATAGAAAGTTAGAGGCAGCCCCCAAAGGGTACTGAGAGCCTCAAGGGGGCACGAGCCAGTGGGGTGGGCACCTGGTAGTGGAAGGCAGGAGACAGGAAATAGTTGACCATCTCTTGATGGAAGACCGGTGTGAGGCTTCCTGAGATAGGGGGCACAATCCAGGCCCAGTCAGCAGGGCATCCCCCTCTTGCCTTCTGTTCATTTTCTAGGTGTTTCATGAAGGATGCTGTGGCAGCGTGGTGATCCACAATGGTCACTTTGGCCAGCTGGAGCGGGGAGGGAGGGCGAGGACAAGCTTAGATGCAGCCTGTTCATCCCACCGTGGCAGTTACCCTCACATCTATGGCCATAGTCAAAGTTCAGTGTGTAACAGTACCTCCAGTCTCCAATGTCTGTATTCCCTGCCCCCAAACCAAATCTCCCTGAACTCCCTGAGGCTCCACGGAAGTATCAGCAAGCAGTCACCTGCTTTCTCAAATCACAGAGCCAAACGGGCACTCGGTCCTGGTACGGGGGTTCCAGGACCCAGTGGGTTCTAGAAACCATAACACCAAGAATGCTCTAGGGTAGAACATCCCTATGAAGCATCACCACCTTCTCTAAGCCCAGATCCTGACCTTACTCCTAACCCTAAAACTAGAGGAAGTCTAAGACGTAGGCTTAACCCAAATCTAACTTTAAACCCTAAATCTAGTCCTAAACTACATTTAGGCCCAACATGAATCCTAACTCTAAACCTAACTTTAAAATTGAACCAAGGCCTCGGCTTAGCCTGAATCTTAATCCAAACATAAACATTAACCCTATCCTAGCCTACCCTGAGCACCCTGGCCATTAAACTGCACCAAGCCCATGCTCTAGGCTTAGCCAAGTCCCTGTATTGCAGCCCCACAGAGCCCAGCGTGCCACGGCTCCGGAGGCGTGACAGGAGTCTTTAGTGTACTCCAGCCCCCTACCTTCCAGCTTCTGTATGTCCCCCTCTGTTCCGCCCCCAGCTCCCTTGCCCTCCTGGCCAGTTTGACCTGTGCACCTGGTAGCTGTGCAGCACAGCCAAGTTAATTTCCACAGCTGCTTTGTCTTTCCACAGAGACGAGGTGGTCCGTGTATCCAGGTCCATGCAGACGGCCACATCCTGGGAACGGGGGTAGGGTGTACATGGGATTGGTGCGGAGAGTAGCCTGGTCTCAGACTCATGAGTGAAAGTGGTTAAGGTGGGGGTGGCCATCCGAAGACCCGGTTTCTAGTTTGGGATTGGTTCAGGATTTTTCCTACACAGATGCCAGGTGCTTCTCAGCCTCATCCTTCGTTTCTCATCTCTGAAATGGGTCTTAACTTTATTTTTACAAAACTCAAGGTCCCCTTTGAGAATCTCATGAAAGTTATAAATCCTACTGTGTACCTTCAAGTCAGAACCTGACACGTAGCTGGCCCTCCCACGGGTTTTCAGAGGCAGTTAATCATGTGGGAGGAGATTGCGTATCTTTTTCCCTCAGAGCAACTGGTGGATTTGAACCACATGCCTTTGGGATTGCAGCACAGCTTCTTGCCACTAGGTCCAGAGCTCCCTATAGATTCTCTTCCCAGAAGAATAAACATGTTGACATGCACACACCCATGTGCGCACTTGTACACACACACACACACACACACACACACACAGAGCCACACACTGCCACATCCTTGGATGGTTCTGTGACTTCCTCATCAACTCTGATTTGGGGCAGCCCTCGCCTGATCCTGTCTCAGATCCTGTCCTGAGGTGTGGGGAGGTACAGGGGTCCTCCCCCCCAATCCCACTGGGTCTCACCTCGAGAATGTTGTAGCGGTGGGGGTCACACAGATTCCGAGTGCCGATCTCAGTGCTCATATACCAGCCACTGAAAGGAGCCGCAGGAAACTCCAGGCCCCCGATTTCTAGTAGCATGTTGGACACGGCTGGGAGGGCGTACCACCGGAGGCCCAGGGCTGCAAACCACTCCAGCCTGGGGGCATCAGGGTCTAGAGTCAGTCCTGGGGAAGCCTGCCTAGGGGCCACTCCTGGCCAGCCACCTCCTCCACCTGACCCAGTCCCTTTGGTGCTCACGTGGGGTGCTCCAGAGGCACCTCAAGGACCAGTTCTGGGGGTAGAGGGAAGACCTCTGGGGGCTCATCCGGGGCCTGGAGCAGCAGTGGTAACACATCAAATCGGCCGCTTCCTGGGGTCCAGCCATACTGGATGCAGAGCTGTGGGAGGGTGGGGCAGAGCGACCCCTTTGCTGGATTTCCTCAATGAGGGCTCCTGATGCTGGTTGCTATATCTCTTTGGCTGGACCCCTTGTCCCAGCCCAGGCCCCTCATTGCTGGCTCGGCAGCCCTCTGTGCCCACCTCTGTGATTTCTACGTTGGCCGGGTCTCCGCGCACTGAGCCATCTTGCTGCCTGTAGCCGGCATAGCGTATCAGCTGACTGTTCCATATCCGGAAGTCACCTCGGCCAGGGGCACGTTGAGGGAACACAGTGATGGCTGAGCTGTGAAGGGGAGAGTGAGTCAGAGGCCGCCTCCACCATCCCGGGAGAGGCCGGAGGCGATGGTGTCTGGGAGCTGCGTCGGAGGTGATGGTGCCTGCTCACCGAAGGTTTCCCCGGTTGGTGCCATATTTGATGTGGTTGCAGATGTAAGTGAACATCTCCTGTGCAGAGCTACAGTCCCGTGCATCAAAAACCTGAGGTTGTGGGTGAGAGGGAAGAGTGGTCGTGAGCACCAGCCCCTGGCAGAAGGCAGCCCTGGGGTCAGGGAGGGCCTTCCTGCTGCTTCCCCCCATAAGTTCGCTGTGAGGTTCCCTCAGGGTGAGCTGCAGTAATTCTTTCTGGGAAACCTCCTTGACCTATACTGACCCTTTCCTGCCCTGCCCACTAGCCTCTCCTGCTTCTTGTCTCTTTCCTGGGATGCATATTTCTCTGAGAGACTAGTTTGGTACCAGGTATTAGGAGGCACCTGGTTACTACCAAGTGCCTACTGACAAGGAGGCCCACTGGTTCAGCATGGGCTGTGATGATGGAGATGGAACAATATAAGGTGGCCTCCAGGACTTTTGGCCGTTCTGAGCCCCTGATGCTGAGAGGAGCCCTCCAAGTGGAGGCCCAGGAGGGAACTGAGATGCCCCACCCTGCCTGAAGGAGGAGGAAGCTTGCGCTAGTGACAGGACTAGGGTGGCTGTGGCTGGCTGGGACCAGGGGAGGGAGATAGGTGTCAGTGAGGTTCAAAGTTGAGGTGAAGCTTTGAACCACTTAAAAGGTCCTGCAAGTATCAAACGGGTTGTTACCGTTTTTCATTCTAGACTTCCTTGGGATTTCCTGACTACATCACTTTAGTCCAGATCCTTTGGTGGCCAGTGACAGTGAAGCCGGCCAAACTCATGGGATCCTTTCCCCAGTAGGTTAGCGTGCCAGGGCATCAGGCCGTCCCAGGCGATCTCTGTGTTGTGAAGTGTGCTGAGTGTGAGGGGATGGCTAGCAGGCAGAACCCAAATGGCAGAGAAAGCTGGAACTGCTTTAGGACTGGGCCCCTGTCCCTGTGACTCAGCAATGCCTCTGATTCTGATTCAGTGGATCCAGGTCCTCCTTCCCCCCAGACCCGCCAACCAAAAAGACTATCATGTTGTAATAATCATATGTTAGCTAGTGACACAGGGCTGTGCCGGGGTACTAAAGATGACCCTTCCATGGATCTATCTATCCCCATCAGGGGCTGCCCCCACCCCTCTTAGCCTTGGGGCCCTGAGCCCACCCTGGGTCTGTTTCCCAAGCCACACCTGCAACTTCCCCCACTGGATGCGGCCCACACATCGAGGAGCATTGCGCCAGGCCTGCTTCGCCCCGAACACCAGCTCACTCTCCCGGAGCTGGTAGGTGCCTGTGGCTGCCACCTCAGCTTCCACCTCCTGCAGCCGCTGCTCATGGGCCTGGGAGCCACTCCTGGGAGAGAAGGCAGGCAGTGTCGTGGGGTAAGAAGAGTAGTCAGGCCCTTGTGGTGTCAGGACCTGGGACAGTAGGACAGGGAGAGGTGAGGAGATCCAGAGGTGTCTGGGGCCTCAGCAGCCCCTGGATGTTCTCACCTCTTGATGGAGCTGTAGTACTGGCCAATGAAGTCCCGGGCCTGGCTCAAAAGCTTCTCAGGAGCGGCAGGGCCTGTGGAGGGCTGGCTTGGCGTTTTCCTCGGAAACACAAGGGAGCCCAGGCAGTGCTTTGGGGTGCAGGGTCCATCCTGAGTTGGAGGGTGAGGGCAGCAGGGAAGTAGGGGGCACAATTAAGCATGCTAGCGTCTGGATGTGACCTGGAGGGAGAGGTGTGGGTCTGGGGAGGTGTGGGCTCAGGGTTGGGCTTGGGACTGGAGACAGGAGTGAAGCTGAGCATGGTCAGGTGGGGCTTGGACCTGGAGTGGGGTAGGAAGGTTGAGTTAGAAGGCCCCTGTAACTGGGGGCTTGTCCTGATACATGTCCCTCAGTCCCTGCAGCTCTTCCTCTGTGTTTTCTCTTTAGAGGAAGAGACTGATAGTCACTCAGGCTGTAGGCTGAGACTGGACCCCAGCAAACTTCAGTACACCTATCATGGTTGAGATGGGGATAGAGGTCCCAGGAGGGTGGGCTCCATCCAGGAGGGCCCCTGACCTACCTGCTGTGCCTGGGCGCTCAGAGTATCATAGGTGATGCTCCCCACTTCCCAGTTCTTCACACGCGGGAACCTGGGCCCTGCCGGGGTCCGTGCTAGTGGGGGGCTGTTGGGAGCCAGGGATAGGGTCATGGGCTAGGAGCTTGCTCCTTTAGACCCCCAGCTATGCTCTGGAGCCCCTCCCCAAGCAGTGAAAACCTCCTGGCCTCCTGCTGCATCCTTGAGCTGCTGCTTGTTTGCTCTCAATAGCCTGAAGGGAGGCATTTGCAGACAGTGACGGGATATTGCCACAGAGGTCATGCGGGAAGGAATACATTGCCCTTCACAGTCCAGACTCACTCATGATGCCCAGTCAGAACCCCGGAGCTTGGTTCCAGGCTAAACCAGTCACCCTCCATGCAGGGTCCCTCTGAGGAAGTCTGGGTGAAGGCTCCCTCAAGAGGGGCAAGGCTGAGGAAGGTGGCAGAGAACTCCTCAGTCCAGATCCCTGCTGCTCACTCACACCCTTCCTGACAGAAGCTGATCGTGTGAAGGGAAACAGGCCTTATCGCTTCCTTTCAGAGCCGCAGACCAGGCCGGGAGGGAGGAAGGGAGGGACTCAGGCATGGATTTGTGGGGCCCTAGATCCTTTCCTTTGCGGGTCCTCTGCTCACTCTGGGTAGCCACCTGGAGTTGGTTTGGCCACCCACCTGCCTTCCTCTCCTCACTACCTCTGTCGCAAGGAGGACCCTTCCAGGGAGAGGGCAGAGTCAGGTGGGGCAGGTAAGTCAGCTGGTGTAAGAGAAAGGAACTTTCTCACTCTGCCTTCCCCTCAGCTCCAACCATGGGCCCGAGGGCTACCGATCTTCTTTCAGAGCTAAGGCTTATGATATAACTCATGTCCCCTTTTATGAGACCCCCTCCCTGGCTTCTTTCTCTCCTGAGTACCTAACAGTTGCTACATTTATTGAAGGCTTGCTGTCAGATAGAGACAGGCCCTGTGAAGTGACACCGAATCCTCATTTTACATAAACTGGGGTGCTGTAGCTGAGCAGTCCGTAGGGTGCTGCACTGTTAACCCAAAGGTGGCGTCTCTCTGGAGGTTCCAATCCACCAGCTGTCTTTGGGGAACAGCTGGGGAGATGGGTAATCTCCTCCTGTGCGATTTACAGCCTTCAAAACCCTGCTGAAGGGTCACCTATGAGTCAGTCGGACTTGATGGCTGTGAGTGAGTGAAAGTGGCTCTGACAGGTTAAGTAACTTGCTCACACAGCTCAGGTGATTGCAGGGCTATTGCTGGAGATCAGCTCTATGCGGCCAACCCTATGAGGTCTCTCTGATGTGGTGGCTGAGTAGCGTCCAAACCCTGGCCTGACTCTGTAGCTGGCGGTGTTCCTCATCCACTTGTTTCTGTTCCTCGTAATCTCAACTCCTTGTACCTTTGATCCCCATGATCTCTCTCCTTGAATCCTTCCCCAGACTCCTCTACAGTCTGTGCCGGTGACCTGGCCCACAACCTTCTCAGACTCAGTTTACGACCCTCCGCCCTCTGCCTGCCTGCCTCCCACAGCTGAGGCCTTACCTGTGGTCAGGCGCGGGTTGGGGCACCGGGGATGGTGCCAGACTGGGTTCCGAGGTTGGGGAGGCTGGGTCCTGCTTGCCACATAGCCCGAGGCCCAGTCCCAGCCCCAGTCTGCAGGGCGGCCTAGGCTCCTGGCCTACGCTCTTCAAGTTGCCCATGTCCTCTGCTCTCCGCTCTGCCGCTCTCGGCAGAGAACTGGCCTTTTCCTTAGGAAGCAGGGAGGGGTTGGGAATAGTGGGAGGGGGTTCTTCAGCCCTGGCCCTTGCCCCGCCTCTGTCCCATACACAATGGGACCGGAACCAGCCCGGTTGGGAGGCTGTGCAGCTTTGGCTTCATGCCTGCTGGCCCGCAGGGTGGGGGGCTGGATGCCTGGGTTTTGCTGTGAGGACTACAGCTGCTAAGTGCCCAGGTGTCTGGCAGAGCCCTGGGACTGAGTGTAGGAGTGATGGCAGAGTGGCAGGCCGGAGGGTAGGCCTCATGTCTCACCCTTGCCAGCCTTTCTTTAAAGCCCAAACAGAAGTTTGGAGCAGAAAATGAGAGATCTGGATGCCTAGTGACCCCAGCTCTCCCCTTCACCATCACTTTCTACATCTAAGAGCTTCTGGACACTCTCCTCCTGGTCTGAATCCACTTGGGTTCTGGAGAATATTGGCCCAGAGATGATAAATGACCCTTTGCCCCTGAGTCTGGCATTAAGGTAACTTATCCCTTCCCAGCCCCAGTTTCCTGGAACTCCTACCCTCTTACCACCACTCCCCTCCCTCAGCAATTTAATGGGGGGCATAAATCTGTGGGAAGCGGGCTAATTCAGGGCTTCCACTCCCTATGCTGTCATACACTGACGCATATTTCCTATTAGGAGAGAGAGACTCATCAGGGCTGGGCAAGGACTGGAACCTTAGAGAGAGGGTGGGACAGAGTGCACTACAATTCCCAGAATGCAGATGGGGTGCACCAGTGCTCTTTAAGCACCTCTGGAGGTAATACATACTGGAGTTTGTAGTTTCAGAGAAGGATCAGATCCTGGGGTCATCTGTGTCTAAGTCTCATGAGTCTGAAATCTCAGAGTCTGGCTGCAAGAAGGAAATAGGAGGAGAAAGACTGGGATCGGTAGAAACTGGGAGAGGCAGATAGGCAGACAAATGGACAGGCAGACAAACGAGCATGTGGCACTGAACGGCAGTGGAGGATAAAGAGTTAGGGGAGAAGGTGGGGACAGGTGGGTTACCTTGGAAGAATAGGCAGTGCTTTGAGCTCTGGGGTCACACCAAGAGTCAGCTCTGGGGGCACATGGGAGATCTGAGCTCCTTGATAGCAGAATCGTGTGTGTGTGTGTGTGTGTGTGTGTGTGTGTGTGTTTGAATCTGGGGAAGGGTGAGAGCTGAAGCAGGATGAGCAGTCCAGAGCCCAGAGCTTTCACCTTGGCCCTTTACGTTTTCATTGTACTAGGAAACAAGAGGCAAACAAAACTCCCTGGCTTGCTTTCAGCACCTAAAAGGCACCTGACCAAGAATGGTGCCTTTCTCCACAGTCCAATTTAGACAGATCTACCTCTGCCCATGTCCACGCCATCTGGGGAGTTTCCTCTTACTTTGGGTCTGCCTTAAAGACTTCAGCTCAAGGCCAAAGTCGTTCCAACACTGTAGCTGGGCCCTTGTTACTCAAGTCCCTGGTCCTTGTGGCCTTGGTTCCAGACAAAAGGGCTTCCTCATAGCTTTCCAAGCAAGCTTTGTACCAGGAGTTCCTCTCTTTCTGGGGATTTCTTTCCAGAAAAGGATCTGTTGTGGAAATGCAGTAAGCTGATTATCTCCAGGGGTAAGACTGCCCATCTGTGGCTGCCTGGGGCTCTCCATAGGCCTGGGTGTGCAGGATGATGCCACAGACAGGACACTTCCTCTTGGCCCTTTCCCTTTCTTGTCTCTTCTTCTTTCCTGGGCTTGTGTTCCTCCTTATATTTCATAGACAATAAAAAGAGGACCCAGCTTCTCAACATGTCCCTTTCTGAATGTCTCCTTGCCTATCAAAGAGCAAGAGTGTCAGTTCAAAGACTAAGGTGTGTTTGATCCACGTCATGGTATTTTCAATTGTATTTCATGCATCTTTCAAGTTGTGCAATGAGTACAGAAGACCAAAAAAGAATTGACATCTTTGAATTGTGGTGTTGGGGAAGATTATTCACTATTACATGAACTGCCAGGAGGACAAACAAATCTGTCTTGAAGAGTACAACCAGTGTGGTCCTTGGAGGCAAGGATAATGGAACTTCATCTCACATACTTTGGGTATGTTGTTAGGAGAAGTCAATCCTTGGAAAAAGATATCGTGTTGGGAAAGGTGGAGGGTCAGAGGAAGAGAGGAAGATGGATTGACACAGGACTGCAGCAACGGACTCGATCAGGGTGGAGATTGTGAGGATGACGTGGGGTAAGGCAAGGTTCAGACCTGTCATCCAGTCTGTAAGGTCACTCGATGGCACCTAGCAACAACATCCTTCTTAGACAGTTCTTTGTCAGTCTGTTCGCAGGAATGAGCATCCCTGCTGCCCCTGGCTCTTAAACTAAGTGTGCTCTCTGGAAGCCCTGGTTACATTTGACTCCATGGATGTTCTGTGGAACCTGATTGTACTTGGCATGGAGTTGTTGTTGTTAAGTGCTGTTGAGTCCAGCAGGACTCATAGCGACCCTGTGAACAAAAGATCTTAACCCTGTTCTATCCGGCACCATCCTCACACTTCCTGACACACTAAAGCCGTTGCAGTAGTCACTGTATCAATCCACCTCGTTGGGGGTCTTCCGCTCCTTTGCTGACGCTCTACCCTTCCCAATATCATGTCCTTTTCCAAGGAATAACACCTCCTAGCAACATATCCAAAGTATGTGAGGTGAAGCTGCACGATTCTTGCCTCCAAAGAGTCTGGCTGTACCCTCTCCAAGACATATCTGCTTGTTCTCTTGGCCATCCATGGGATGTTCAATACTCTTCTCCAACATCATAGCTCAAAGGCATCAAGTCTTTTTCTGTCATCCTTATTCATTTTCCAGGTCTCAGATGCATAGCTAGTAATCGGAAAGATTATGGCCTGAATTAGATGCACCTTAGTCCTCAAATTGACATTACTACTCTTCAGCACTTTGGAAAGATCTCTAAACACAGATTTTTCCAGTACGACGTGTCTCCTTATTTACTGTCTGCTCTTTACTAGCTGTTGACAGTTTCAGTGTCTCCATGCATCATGACACTGCTATTGGTCCAGTGGTAAGCATCTTCGTTTCCTTAATGTTGAGATGCAGTTCATACTGAAGGCTGTATTCCTTGATCTTGTGCAACAAGTGCTTCAAGTCCTCCTCACTTCCAGCAAGTAAGGTTGTGTCATCTGTGTAATGCAGGTTATTGATGAGTCTCCCTCCAATCCTGATGCCACACTTCTCTTCATACAGTCCAGCTTCTCAGATAATTAGCTCAACATACAATTTGAACAGTTATGGAGAGAGAGTACAACCCTGTCTGATTACAACTCCCTTCCCAATTCCAAACCATGCAGTGCTCCCCTGCTCTGTTTGCACAACAGCCTCCTGATCCAGCTATAGATTCCACATGAGCACAATCAAGTGCTCTGGGATTCCCATTCTTCTCAATGTCAGTCACAGCTTATCATGATCCACATAGTCAAATGCCTTTGCATAGTCAATAAAGCACAAATAGAGATTCTTTTGGTATTCTTTCCTTTCAGCCAGGATCCATCTGACATCAGCAATGGTATCCCTGGTGCCATGACCTCTTTTAAATCCTTCTTGAAATTTTGTCAGTTCCTTATCTATGTACTGTTCTAGCCATTTTTTAATGACCTTCAGCAGTAGTTTTCTTGCATGTGATATCAATGACATTGTTTGGTAATTTCCAAATTCAGTCTCATCACCTTTCTTAGGAATGGGAACAAATGTGGACCTCCTCCAGTCTGGTTTGGCCATACAGCCATCCTCCGGATTTTCTGGCATAAACTGGTGTGTCCATCCAAGGCTGCATCTGTTAACTGAAACAAGTCAATTGGTATCCTGTCAATTCCTGGGGCCTTATTTTTTACCAATGCCTTCCATGCAGCTTCTACTTCCTCCTTTATTACTATTGGCTCCTGTTCATATGGCACTTCTTGTAATTTTTCACTGTCCATCAATTCTTTCTGGCACAGTGACTCTGTGTATTCTCTCCATCTTCTTTTGATGCTTTTGGGGTCATTCAATGTATTGCCCAAAGCGTCTTTAAGTTTTGTGACATGAGGATTAAATTTGGTTTTCAGTTTTTTCAGCTTGAGAAATGCAAAGCAAGTTCTTCCCTTTTTATTCTCCAATTCCAGCTCTCTGTACATCCCATTATAATACTTTGCTTTGTGCCTCTGAGCTGCCCTTAAAAATCATCTGTTCAGCTCTCTACATATGTTGTGCCCCCTGCGCATGTGGGCACCTCCAGGGCCTGAAGCTGAGTGCATGAGACAATGGGGGGGAACCCTAAGAGAGTTAGTTGAGGCAGTTGGGCTCAAGAAGGGCATGCTGTGACCACAAGAAAGTTGGGGAAAGGCCTGTACAGCAGGTACTGAGGGCTGTGGGGCACAGTGAACCTGAGCTGCTGTTTGATTAGTAACCAAGGAGACCATGACAAGGGTTCTAGGAGGAGAAAGGGGGGGGGGGTGGAAATCAAAACAAAGACAGACTGTGTAAAAAATGGAAGCTTTGACACCAGGAAGTTTCCCTGATCCTGAGGGAGCTGCAGTTCTGACCTGAGGGAGTGCTCCGGTAGTTCAAATTCATCAGCAGCTCCATGGCAGAAAGATGGAAATCTTATCCCAGGGAGGGTCAGCTATGAGTTGGTTCTGATTCAATGGCAAATAACAGCAACCAAAAAAATGTTGCCAAGAATGTAGAATGTACCACGCGCCCTAATGACCTTCAAAGTTCATCTGAATGAAACCAGTCACATTCCTCAACGTTTCTCCTTGTCCACCTACAGTGTGGAGACTTCCCCCTCTAGCTCTCTTCCTGGTGTGATTCTGGACCACTCTCTGGTCTCATCCTGCCAGGTCCTCTGGCTCCAGTTCTGGCCCTGCCTCTGTTCAGATCTGGTTCCCTCTTGCTTTCTGTCTTGGTTTTATCTGCCTGGTTGCTAA